TAGAGCATCCAAAGTAACACGATGGAAGATAGGCCCAGTAGCCGCCTGATGAGTGAGACTAGGCCTGAGTTGGTATCACTCGGCTGGAGGGGTGTCCTTTCTCGATGTAGAGCTGATCTCCCGAGTAGAAGGAGCTTGATGGAGCCCGACCATGGGCCCTGTGGAAGACAAGAACGATGTTGTTAATGCGCGATTTTCTCACAGTTTGGGGATTTTTTCCGTCAACGGATAAAATCGCACGCGCTGTAAACGGCGCGCATCATGCTAGTTGTAACGCTGGGCGATACATGAGCGAAACGACGGGTATAGCCGCCGCCTCCTCGGCACTAAACTCCATCACGGATGAGCAGCTTCTGAACATCATCCTACCATTATTACAGTCCAGGCGGGACCTACGAGACGTGAGCCAACTCTATGGAAGGGCCCATGTGAAGGGGATCATCTTTAGGTGGTCATATCAGAGCTCGGGGTGAAGGACGAGCCGAGTAATGTTGGTCACTCGAGTCACTGAGTAGTTGCAGTCCCCTTAGGTATTCCATGGGTTGGTGTAGAGACCATCGGGAGTGTCTCTGAGGTCGACATGCGGTCTTTGCTACCGCCCTCGCCACCCAAGCCTCCTGTAAGGAAGCGGCCACCACCACCACCACCACCACCGTCGACTAGTCGGTCGGCGAGGGCGGTTAGGAAGGCCCAAAGGCGAGAGGGCTCCAACGATACGTTATTGAGGCTTATGAGGGGCGAGGAGGTCCTGGACTCAACCTATGCTACTGTTTTTGATGATGGGAGACTAGGTGGGTCTATTGTGGTTGGAATGGTAGTGGAGGCGGACCTCTTAGGAGAGCTCGCATCGACAGCCCAGCACCCATCGGAGGCATCTTCTACTGGGCCGGAGTCTACTCATTCTGCGCCTCTCAATGTGCAGGGTAGTAGCATTGCAATACGGAGAAATTTCTCAACCGAATTTGTGAAATTTTCCGAAATTTCGGGAATTTTCCGAAAGTTCGGGATTTTCCGTCATAACTAGGTGGAATAAGCGTACGATAGGTTTGCCATTGGGAAACTTCCCAAACGGGCGACTCGAGTTCGCATGTAACACAAGATGTGAACGTAGTACTATGTGATAGTAGAGTCATGGGCCTTTTCCACTAGGGTGGAGTTTTTCCGATTTGTAGGGCTCAAATTCTCCGATTCATCATCATCATCATCATTCGGGAATTCGAGCGAGTCCGAGCGGCCCTTTCCTGAGCTTGATGGTCATCATCTCCCATTCGATCTCTTCCCCACCGGCTTGTGACGACGACCGGCGCACATCCCTCGACATGTTATGGCAGTAGCATCATCGGTCGTCTGTCGTGATTGGGATTAGTGTGTAAAGGTAATATGATAACGACGATGATGGAAGCTGTATGTGCATGATTAGTAGAGGCTGGGCGCTGCCACTGTGTCTTGACACCATGTAGATGATGTTGCTGCTGCACGTTAGTGAAGTTTCCATCGACACATTTGTGATGGTCCAATTCTGTTGTGTTGGAAGTGCAGCTGGAGGTGGTCTTCAAGTGTGATTGATAACCTTTTGGTCTTGGAGTGGTATTTGCCACTTCTCGAAGGGTTGTTTCAAATGACCACGAAAGGGGTTATGTCGTTTTTATGTGGTCAAACTGCGGGATGTGTCTCGAAATTACCTCCACTGCTTTGGTCTTGTCATAGTTGTTGTAATCGTTGTAGAAAATTGGCGTTTTTTGAGTTTTTACGGCATGCAGAATGTGATGATAATGATGACGAGTAGTTGGACGACGTTTATATTATTACTGTCTTGGATCGCACCGCACGCCCAAGATGATAATGAAATGGCTGCTAATCAGTCATCACTAATTAATACTATTGTGATCTTCATCCAACTGTGGGAATTTGAGTTCTATAGGGCGTGTGATCCCACGAAGATTAGCATATTACTGTTGTTTTATTAGCACTATGCCCAGCACGGCTGCTGCCAAGGGCTGGGTTAAGCCAGAGCTGCGAGTGTCCATAATACGGGTGAAGCATCTGAAGGATACAGGTGTTCATGCAGTAGAGGTACAGCTGGATGGTCAGGAGTCTAAGAGGACGGCGTGGGTTGGTAATGATGGGGAATTGGATCTTAGGGCATGGTACTTTGTCTTGGCTCAGATGGTAACGATGATAAGGAGTTCAATAGGGAGGCAGGCTTCTTCCTGAAGGGGGACCAACAGGAGAACAATACTGACTTTTGGAACAGAGCTTTTGTGAAATTCCATCGGGTCCAACGTGGTCGAGTTTTGGCAGGTACACGTGACGCTCATTCGCCAGAGGACTTTCCGGTCGGATAAGGATGTTGCTGCGTGTCACCTCAGCATGAAAGTGATTCGGAAATACGGCGTGGTTCGGGGGTAATATCCTAGGTATTTGATATACTACGGTACCGTTGGGGTTCAGGTGGATACCGTTAATGCACGATAATGAGTATGTAGGGGAAATGCTCGTTCGGGTGAAGCTGCAGGGCGTAGACCGGTGGAAAGACCGCGAGAAGGGCCCGGCCTCAGAAGCTGTATTCAATCTGCCTCTAAATGGTTACGCTGAAGTACATTACTAGTTACTGTTAGCTTCGCTTCGCTAGGCTGTTGAGTCTATTGTGTTGGTTGTCGGTCGGTGGAACAGTGCTTGTGGCTGTTGTGGTTTTACTCTACTTGTTGGAAGTTATAGAAGGAAATGGTGACAGCAGTGTGACGCGAGGACAGAGATGCGAACTGGAGGAATACCAATACCAATCACTCGGGTACTCAACGGAATGTACGAGGTTGAGGTCTAGACGGTGGAGAGCTCTCGCGCTGAGTAATTCGTCAGTGATGGTTTCTATGCTGAAGTAGATAGGTAAGGAGAGACTCGAAGTAAGCATAGGAATGGTGTCGCTCCGCCTTCTTAGAGGACTACTTTAAAAGCAGAGGTATGTGCTAGGGATAACGATGGTGACTAAGACAGTGAGGGTGGATACCTATGTGATGGAGAGGCGGACGGGTGGGCCTCAGAGAAGTGACCGGGGGTTCATGGGTATGCGATGAAGATGTGGAAGGACCGAGACGGCGAAGATATGCTTCTCTTGCAACCATACGGTGGTACGGAAGTTGGAGGGCCTCGGGGGTTTGACGATTGGTATATGTATAACATGGCTGGCTTCGCTCCGCTAGACGTGGCAGGGTCCCAAGGCCAGTACGGATGATCTCTTAATTGCTCAGCAGAGGTCTATCATCACGACACTCTCCGTCTGAGACCAGTGATCCCTTTTGAGGATTGCGATAGACCAGGTGAAACTAGTGGTGCTATTCATTAGTGAACTGTGGCTGTTGTGGTGAATGTTTGCATTCTACGGAGGCGTGTAGATGCTCTGCGTTTATCTCGGCAAACCTATGATTCTTAATCTGACTTGTTTTTGTGTTTGAAAGTATATCATTTGAAGTCAACGAAAGGCGGTTGTCGAAGGTGCTGAAGGAGGCTGAGTTGTACTTCACCTTCATGTCGCTGCGATTGGTCGATAGATGTGTTCAATGTTGATCATCAGACTTCTCCAATGGAGGTTGAAAGTGACATAGGGCCGATCATAGGTCGCAACTAGAGATGGAGGGACTAGAGGCAATGTATCGTCGTGAAGGTGTGGTTCGACCATCGCGGACCACTACAGAGCACGTTGAATGGGAGTGTAACGTCGTGGTCGTATTGTAATGTTTGGTGCTCATTCTCGACCGCAGTTATCATTACTTAACATTATGGGTTTCTACTTGGCGGCACTGCTGTTGGCGGCTCGCTGTTTAGCACTGTGCGAGGCGGTGAGGGCCTCTGTGAATGAAGTTACTGGAAAGACGTTGATCCCTGGACACCTGTTTACCTTTGAGAAGGCTGTGCCTGGTGATGTTATCAACTACATCATAGACGCAGGGAGTCTTGAGTCTAACAAAGGATATGAAATTAGGGTGACAGGGGACACAAGATTTATTATTATTCGCTGCTGTGATGATAACCGCTGAGCTGTGCTGTGCCATGTTTTACTCTCAGACCTCGATGCCAGGCCAGGCTCCTATGAGTACTCTATTCGTGCTCTCGGCTACTGAGGGGCGGGACCCCGTAATAGAAGTCGATGATTTTAAGATAGTTTTCAAGACTGACGGCAACGGTGCAATCATTGGAGCTGGGGAGCCGGATCCGATCCTGCGGTGAGATGAATGTGGTGAAAACGAAAATCTGAAAATTTCGTTTTTCCGTCAAAATTTCCGAACGTTCGTGTGTTCTGTCAGACGGTACATCCTCCAACTCCGGACTCGGCCGAGATCAGCATCCTATATTCCCGGCAAGATGGGAGAGCCTGTGGCATTCAACATCATCATGGAACCTCTTGCGTTTGGTGTCCTTCCGGAGAGTCAGGTCGGTTGTTGGTGTTATAGTAGTGCATTTTTTTTTGAGAAGTTATCCAATTTTCAATCAAGTCGATTAAGGAGCGTGCTATTTTATTGAGCATATAACGGAATTTTCGAATTCTCTTCCAACAAGGATAGTTCCCCTCTGAAATTGGAGAAATCGATAGCCGATCGGACAGTGGATACTCTATGAAGAGGACTAGATGATACTCCTAATCGTTCCATGGACATTTAGGAAAGAGTGATTTTCACTTAGTACTTACTCTTGAGTTCTCAGTTACGACTCATACCAGCACTAGTAGCGGCGTTGGTAGCGGCAATACTGATGTGGTGGTGTGTGTTCATCCAGCAAAGGCCACGTTGGTTGTTCATTCCCTCGCAACCTAGCACAACTGACAAGGCAAAGACCAAGTGATTTCTACTAGAAAAGAGGCCTGTGTTGAGCTATGGCGCATCTCGATCGGGCTCATTGCCGTTGTAGTGGCAGTGCACGTATTCTTCCCGAATGCTATCATCTCATCTCCGCTCTAAACTACCAGTGGTACTCGGTGCTGTTCGTGGAGTGCCAGGGCTGCGGTACTTCTCCAGCACCAATCACGTGTTACTCAATTTCGTCGATAGTGAAGGCAATGCTGTGAAGACCGTGAGCGCCCCAGTGGGACAGGTGACACTCTTTGGCTTACTCAATTACGGAGTTGAATCGGCGTGGTTGTTCAGTCCCTGCTGGAGGTGGCCCATGCTAACGATATCGACATCGAAGCGGCTTGCGGTGGTCAGGTCGGTATGGTGGGCAGGTGAACTGCGAGAATTTAGGGTGACTCGATTTCAGTGCGCTTGTGCCACGTGTCACATGATCCTCCCAGAGGACGTCTTTAAATTAATACCCGAGCCGGATGAGGTAGGCTGTATTGTGTAACTCTCAGCAGCTCCTAGTTGCGCTCTGCTAGTTTTATAACTGCGTAGAGGAGTGCTCTTTTGTGCGTAGGAGGAACTGGACATGCTCGACTTGGCAGCAGAGGTAACCGACACGAGCCGACTCGGGTGCCAAGTTACTGTCATTCCCGAGATGGACAAGATGACCATCCGTTTGCCATCGGAAGCATTGAGTCAGATGCTGTGATGGTCAACCTGCTCTTTCGACTGATGTGTTTATATGCTGTTTCTGAGACTCTCGTTGTTGTGGTAGTCTACAGCCTTGAAGCTAATTCTGCGTTATTCGTTTCCAAATATGCGTAGAGCGTGGAACTTCTTCTTCGTCGTCGTCGTCGTCGTTGTTGTTGTTGTTGTTGTTGTTGTTGTTGTTGTTGTTGTTGTTGTTAGTTCTTCTAATGACACTGTCGTTCAGTGTGAGGGCCGTCGAAGGCCTCGCGGGTCGCACCAATTACGTATATCATCGGAAAGGCTTAGGGAAGAGGGTCCAAGTGTGGTTCCTCGGTGACATATCGACCTTCGCTGGCGGCTTCAAGTCTCGACCAAGTGGAGATGTACGTAACGACTATCGCTACAGCATGGACGGTGTTGCATGGGTCATCAGCAGTCTCGTGCCACAGGACGTTGATTTGGTGAGATCAGTCGAGCCGCCATC